GTGTGTGTGTGTGTGTGTGTGTGTGTGTGTGTGTGTGTGTGTGTGTGTGTGTGTGTGTGTGTGTGTGTGTGTGTGTGTGTGTGTGTGTGTGTGTGGTGTGCGTGTGTGTGTTGTGTGTGTGTGTGTGTGTGTGTGTGTGTGTGTGTGTGTGTGTGTGTGTGTGTGTGTGTGTGTGTGTGTGTGTGTGTGTGTGTGTTGTGTGTGTGTGTGTGTGTGTGTGTGTGTGTGTGTGTGTGTGTGTGTGTGTGTGTGTGTGTGTGTGTGTGTGTGTGTGTGTGTGTGTGTGTGTGTGTGTGTGTGTGTGTGTGTGTGTGTGTGTGTGTGTGTGTGTGTGTGTGTGTGTGTGTGTGTGTGTGTGTGTGTGTGTGTGTGTGTGTGTGTTAATAAACGGTTTATTAGTAGAGTTGCAGCCGGTGGCTAAAAATATACAGACTTACATTTGATTTAGACATAATGATATAATATGCGTTGAATAAATTTACAGGGCTGTACAGTACATAAATCAGAAGTTGTTTATTATTTTGACAATAGATGGGATGGTGCTGTTCTTATATCTATCGGTGCTGGCTCTTTTGGGCTGTATTTTGTTGTAGTGGCGGACTGCGCGAGTTGGGTGGGGGCTGGAGGTGGCGCGCGCGCGCTTTACGCGGCTAATTGAACCCACGGCGGCCCGCGTAAAGTGAGAAACGTGTAAAGTGAACAACATAACATATGGGATTAATTGAAATAGAGACCGGGCCGACCCCCAAACTCCACTTTTTCCCGACACAATACGTACGTTTTACTAAAAATAACATCTTAACTTTGTGATGGTATTCACCCACACATAATATAGAAGGGAATAATCAATAAGAGAATAATAAACTGAAGGTTAGGTTAGAAAAAAACAAGGTTGGGGTTAACACTTACGTTAGTAGAAGAGATGGGTCGGCGTAGGGGAATGGAGGCAGGTTCCGAGGCAGAGGGCAGGCTACTGGCCCTCAGGTGAGTCTTCATCGGTGTCATCCACACTTACTAGTGCCTCCCTGACAAATCCCTCAAAGTCATCATCACTGTTTCTGCCTCTTGTCACTATCACTGGCTTGGGCTGGCTGTGGTGGGTTGCGGGCGAAGAACTCTGTTATGCTTTGCTGACGGCTGGTGTTTATGTTGTCGTGATAAACCTTGATGTAGAGCTCCATAGTCTGCAACAGCTGGGTAGTGAAGATTTCATACCTGCTTGTGTCAGGGTCGTCGGAAAGGAGGAGCTTGACTTTCTCGATACACTCGATGGCACCCCTTACATTACTATGGGATAAGCGGCGTTCTTCTTGGGATGACTCACCACCTGCCTCTTCACTGACGTCATCATCATCTACCATCTCGTCGGTAGTCACATCAGGATTCCTTATCACCTCCAGGATGTCGTCGTTGGTGGTCTCGGAGAAGCCTGCAGCTGTAACACTCTGCGCAGCTTCTCTGGCAAGGTCCACTGCTACTGCAACAGTCTGAACCTCACCAGTCACAGATTTACTCTGCCTAACACCCGGAATGCCTTGCAACACATGTCTCCATGCATGACGAACAGTTGCTACAGACAGCTGATCCCATGCCTCCACCAAGAAGTCCACAGCTTTCTTGACGTTGAATGTTCTCCAGAATTGTTTCAAAAGCACTTCTTGCTCTGCCAACTGTTGATCCTCATCGTCTTCGCTCTTGCTATCGGTGGTGGTGTCACTCAGGTTACGCAACTCTTCCTTGGTGTTGGTGTAGTCGTTCAGGAGGTTGAATTTTTTAGCAGAGAATGCAGCTTTTACCTTACAGACCAATTCTTGGTCCATGGGCTGTATTATAGACGTAGTGTTGGGAGGAAGGAAGACCACTTTTACGTTGGGGTGACGATCTAACAGTAGGGGCGAGTGTCCTGGTGCGTTGTCAAGCAGCAACAAAATCTTGAATGGCACATTCTGTTGCTCACAGAATTTCTTCACATCAGGGACAAAACAGTCATCAAACCAGGAGAGGGACAGTGTAGAGAACATCCACGCCTTACGTGCGGTCAGCCAGTGGACATTTAGCTTGGTCATGTCCATGCTCTTGTAGGCGTGAGGCTTGCGTGCTGTGTGGATCACCGATAACTTGAGCTTACAGGTACCGGAGGCATTGGTGGTAAATAGGACTGTGATGCGCTCCTTCTGCAATTTCCGGCCCCGAATCTTGCTGGCATTCTTCACAACGAAGGTCTTGGAAGGTAGCTTTTTCCAAAAAAGACCAGATTCGTCCATGTTAAACACCTGGTTGTCGGTGTACTGTCCTTCCTCCATAATCTCACGTTAAAACGGAGGAAATTCCCTAGCCGCAACACGGTCAGCACTAGCTTCTTCACCACCAATGTTGATATTGGTGATCTTGTTCCTCTTCTTAAACCTCTGTAACCACCCAGAGGAAGCATTAAAGGGTTTGGGCTCTGTAATTCCCATCTTTCGTGACACTGTAGCATACAGTTCACGTGCGTACTCCTTAACTGAGCGCGTGTCCACCGCCATGTTCCGTCGCGCCTGACGCACCAAGTAGCTCACAAGTAATTTTTCCGTCTTGAGAAGCACCTGGTTGTGGAAATACTTGATCATAGAAGCACCTGTAGACTTTGTGATGTTCATGTGCTCCTTTATCTTGGCTGCATCCTTCTTAATTGTCCTGATAGTTGATTCGTTCACACCATGCTGGCGCGCGAGATCAACCTGTCTTGTTCCTTTCTCCAACTCTTGTATGATCTTATATTTTATTTCGTAGCTTAAGGAACGTCGTGTCTTCTTTGGCTTAGGGTGGCTGGGTCCAGGAAATGCAAGGTTTCTTTGTGGTGGTGGTGGTGGTCCGGTGGAAGCCATTCTTATGGAACAATGGATACCGATATACACAGTGTAGCCGGGAGGGGTGTAACTGATGCGGTAGGTCAAGGGGCTTGAACGCTCCCGCAGCGGGGCACGTCATAGTACTACATTAAACCAATCACAGCTAGCAGGGAGGGAGGTAAGGATGCTTTGCCCAGTCACAGTCCGCTACGTCATATAACGTCACCGATAACGCAACAAAGACATACACTGCGCACCCTGCTCGCGCCGCTTACACAACATGGCGGAGGGCGGGAGAGATGGCGGGAGGTTTGGATCCAAAAATGGCGCGGCTCGCCAGCCGCTCTCCGCGTAAAGGGGTACATGCACCGCGGAAAGTGAGCATTCCGTGTTCGGCAGGGTACCGCATAAACGTGGAAACGCGTAAAGTGGGACCGCGTAAAGCGATGGTTGACTGTACAAGTATAGGTAAAAGAAATTACTGTCTCTAGAACAAATGGCTCCCTGTCCCGGCCGCGAAAATGCCAGCAACTTAAAAACTACCCTTAGATATTTTTGGGTACATCCAGGGTGTCATCCGCGAATAATCAAGGTTCACGAATTAAAAATTCACTAATTATCAGGGCATGCTGTACTACAAAGTCTTTTTTTGGCTTCAGCACAAAGACTTTTGGTACTTCTTTTCAACCTACAGCATGTAGGGAAACCAATTAGAAAGCTGTGTTCAGTATTGTGTTCTTTATGGACTCTTAAGTCAGCAGTGACCTTTTTAAATAAGTAAAGGTGCTCTAAATCATTTCTTTTTATGTACAATTTCCACAGATTTTTCCTGGAGCAAGTGAACTATCTTGCTATTTGGCTACCAGGCATATTGCTTGAACTTTCAACTTGTAAGTGATTTGTTAACTCTGAATGAGAGTTAAAACAAGTCTTTATGTTGTACAGTGTTTGCTCTGTAGGTGGTTGATACTTATTTGGTTTGGGCATTTACCTCACTCTTTCTTGTTAGTGTGGAATTGGGGGGGGGGGGGGATATTTGTTTCCTTTAATCACCAAGCTTTCCATGGAAATTTAAAACCTTTTTGAAGTATTGTACAGTACCTTGTTGTTAACCCTCTTATTGACAGATATGAATTAGTTCTCTCTACTGTTGGAAATTTCTCTCGGTTTCTTTAGTAAGTAACATGGTCTTGATCTTGAGACCTTTTTTCAGGTCTCATGGATATATAAAAATTCTAATGTTAGATCTGCATTTATAAATATTTTCCCTCTCTAACCTTTAACTGGTAGCTAAGGATTTCACACTCTCCCCACATGCACAACAGTGTAATGCAAGGAACATGAACCTCCACTCAGATGGCCACCAACTAAGGGTTATAGTGGGGGAAAATCACTAGTGCATTACACATACTATACAGATGTTTAAAGATGGTCACAGAAGACAGAAGTATTGTTCATTATATCTTTAATAGCAACAGCTATTTCATAAGACCACTGTTATTAAGTTTATAAATATCATTTACTAAATAAATGATCAATAAGGTTACAGTATTTGGATTGTCACCACCATGCAGTGCTATATTTGAGTATGCTCATACAATCTGAGTGTATCATCAACATAACCATTTTCTGGCTATTTTCTGTGATTGATTGGATTGGCATTCTTACTCATGATCTTTATGACTTTCAATATTGTCAAATATAATTTGAATTCAATTCTTGGTATACTTAAGAACCAGTGTAGTTTGATTAGAAATTGCATAATAAGAGTTCTTGGTGGAAATTAATAGATAAATTTAGTTACTCTGTTCAAGACAGACTGGATCATCCTCAATTGATAATTTGTCAAACTCTGAATAAAATTAATGTATGAATATGTACAGGCCCCCTTTGAGCTGAATAAAATTGTCTGGCATTAGCCAAGTAAAATATTAAAAGTGGCATCCCCATAGTGAAGGGGTTAGTAACTATAGTGTATTTTTAAGGAGACATGAAAACAATGAATGTTTTAAGATGTTGAGGTGATAGACTCTGAATCATGGGCTTAATGATTTCAGTAATATAATTATGTTGTGTCTATCCCTTCAATTGATGAAACTCCAGTTTTGTTACATTAAGTTGACTTGATGTTTGCACTACACTCTCCAAACTGTGTATTTGTCCCTTCAGATGGTGAAACATCAAACTTAGCAGAAAGTGTGGACAGCAAGGCAGCTCTGGCTAATAAAGTAGAAGCTCAAGAAAGACAAACAGGTAAAACAGGTAAGGGAATACTGTGCAGTAGTTAGGAATGACCTTGTGATATTAATGGAAATCCAATGCAGATATTGATATTAAAGAGCTCTAGATAGTAGGAGAATTTTCATTCCATTTGACAATGGATATGTGGTGTGGCTTTGTAGTTACTGTAGTCTTGATGGGCATGTAAATTTCCTGCCAGGAGCATAATTTTTGCATCACTACAGATACAGTACTGCAAGTGTTGAACCTTTTTTATACGACGTTAAATCAGCTTTTATAATAGGAGTTTATGGGAAAAGTTGATCAAGTTTACAGATTTATATTTTTTTATTTATTTTTTATTTTTATTTTTTTATTTATTTTTTTATTTTTTGGTAATTAAACCCTTTAGTAAATCAGGGAATGCCTTAAAATGAAAGTATTCTAGTGAACTGTCAAAGGATAATGAGTACAAAGTAAGGTTTGTTTGCACTTCAGTATAAAAATGTTTATTGACCTAGCTAGTTCAGGAAATTTCGTAATAAAACTGCCAGCTCTCAAACATTTCTTCATAAGTGATAACGCTCATAGCTATTGAATACTCAAGAGAGTTAGATTTCTGTTTCTTTAATTTTATGATATTGATGAATAATCTGATATGAAACTAACATCAGTTCATTTGTAAATTGCATGGAACGTACTCATATATTTCCATTTTTTCTGCACACCCTTACAACCAACAGATTCAACTGTTTTAGCACAACCTCTTCCATTAGCTAAAGGCAGCAAGAAATTTGATTGGTCTTTGACACTTGATGAAGACGTCATCGTTAAAGAAGGTATGAAGATTGGTGTTCTCAAACTGATATAGTTTTTCTGTAAGTTCCACTGAATTCATTAATGCATGCTAGTTAGCCATGTTTTGTTCATAATTTTCTCATTTCTAACATCACAGTTATTGAGGTCAGATGTGTGAAAGTCAAGTCAATGCTACAAATGGATTTTTTTTTTCCAGAGAATATGATGGATCAGGACAACCAATTAGACCTCTCAGCTCCACCTTCACCAGAAGAAGCAAATTCTCCAACTTCTTGTGTAGACACCAAGGAAGGCATCATTAAACATGATCATACAGGTTTGCAATACAGTACAGTATAGTCTGCATTTACGCGGTCAATTGAACCCGTGGAGGTCCGCGTAAAACGAGAAATGCGTAAACGAAATAACAGAACATATGGGATTAATTGAAATAGAGACTGGGGCGACCCCCAAACTCCACTTTTTCCGACACAATACGTACGTTGTAGTAAAAATAACATCTTAATTTTATGATGGTTTGCACACACAATTAATAATTAAGAGAAATATCAATAATATTAGGTTTTTTAAAACTTGCGTTAGTAGAAAAGCTGGGTCGGCACACGTGGATGGCGGCTGGTTCCGAGGCAGAGGGCAGATTAATTGTCCTCCGGTGAATCACTTTCACTACTCGCAGAGGTTTCAGGGCCTCCCAGACAAACCCCTCAAAGTCCATATCCTCACTGTCACTATCACTAACTTGGGCTGGCTGTGGTTGTGGTGGGTTGCGGGCGAGGAAATCCTCAATACTATGTTGACGACTAGCATTGATGTTGTCAAGATAGATCTGGATATACGGCTCCATAACTTTCGACAGATGGTTATTAGACACTTCATACCGATGCTTGTCTGGGTCGTTGTCAAGGATGAGCTTAATTTTCTCCCCTAACTCGATGATTTCCTTCACATAATCATGACTTGGTCCAGGTAATTCAAGGTTTTTCTCGGGTGGTGGGGCCCAGCGGAAGCCATTGTGAGGGGAATAGCGGGCACAAGAGAGAACTGTATACACGGACTGAGAACAATGAGACAGGCCCGGCTAGGTTAGCGACTTACCCTCTGATGGCAGGCAAGGTTGGATCAAATACTGATTTTTAGCGGTCAAATACAAATACAAATACTTGTGACATTATGATGCAAAAATACAAATACAAATACTTTTATTCCTTAATTCAAAAATATAAATATAATTACAAATACTTCTGAAATTAAGATGTAAAAATACAAATATAAATACAAATACTTCTGAAATTAAGATGTAAAAATACAAATACAAATACTTTTATTTCCAAGTTCAAAAATACAAACCCAATATAGTAAAAGTCCAAAAATCCGGATGCCAGAAATCCGGACTACCCGAGAATCCGGACTTTTCGAAAACTTAATTTATTTATTTATTTATTTATTTATTTATTTTTTATTTTTAGCTGGCTTTTGTGTGTATGTGCGCTTGCATGAGCGCCACAGCTGCGCAGCGACAACAAGCGACCACGTGGTCGCCACTTTAAAACGAGCAATCAAACTGTGACAACGTATGTAATTTTGAATCCTACTCTTTCCATTTACAGAGTACCGTACAAGCCCATAATAATGGCTCCTAAAGTAGATAAACTTCGTTGTGTGATGAGAAAGAAGAACATGTTGAAATTGAGTGACAAACTTGAAATAATTAAGAAACTAGAACTTGGTGTGAGCAATACTTTTCTAATGTAAACATACGACATTGGAAAGTCTACAATTTATGATATAAAAAAGGCAAAGAATAAAATTATAGAATTCATAGCTTTTTCTTTAAAACTGCTCATTTTGATAAATGAAGCATGCTATATTTGCTAGTGAATAAACTATCAAAATGTACCTGTTCATCTCTTCTTTATTTTTCCTTAAATTTGAATTTTAAAAGTACTGCCTGAGAATCCGGAAAATCCGAAAATCAGGACCGACCCAATCCCCAAGCAGTCCGGATTTTTTAACTTCTACTGTACCTACATATCAGAATTACATTTTATCATCATTAATGCCTGGAAGATTTCTGGGCTCAACTTAGCTCGCTCAGGAGTGTAAAAATTACCAGCTTTGGTAAACGCTCTCTCAGAAGGTGCCGACGTTGCACAGCAGCCTAGAATGCTCTTGGCAAAGTGCCTCAGAATTTTGAAGCTTTGTATATCACGCCAATACTTCAATGGGTTGATGTCAAAAGGCAGAACACCTTCCTCTAGGTACGTTTCAAGCTCTGTGGTTTGTTGACGGGCTTGCCGTCGATGGCCCAGGTGGAGGCATGTAGGCAAAGAGACGAGGTCGTTTGGCAATTATGCCATCTTTGTCTTGGTTGATGCTCATGGAAAGCTCATTCTCTTGAATTTCTTCCTTCTGGATGTTCTTGTAGTCCTTGGTAGACTCTGCAATAATTAAGTCCGCAATCTTCGAAATCTTTTCTTTCTGCAGTTCCTCACATGGAATCCACGCCAACTTGAACCTGGGGTCCATGGCAGCTGCGGCAATGACATCAATCCTCTCCAGAAATGGATGCAACCTCTTTTTGACAGATGACTATAGTGCATTTGCCAACTTAAAGCAGTAGAGCGGTTTATTTTCAATGAACAGTTTGAGGCTGTGCTCAAGACCAAATACAACTGGTGCGATGCAAGAAAGTGTTACTATGCTTTCTCCTTCTACTTGCGACATCGCCTCTTGGAATGGTTCCAAAACTTGTACCACTTCTTTCAACATTGTCATTTCCATTCCCTTCAACTCCTCTACAGTCTTTTTTGTTCCTAGAAGACGAATGGCTGAGTTGACTCCGCTGGTGTCCTCGAGAACTGACTTAATCATTGTCAACTGAGAGTTCCATCTAGTAGCAGTGGTGGCTTGCAGTGCAACGCCAATCTTTTCCAAGAACGGTGCAGCCACAGTAGATCGACGTATTGCAGCCACAATACTGTAGCACTTGTGTATCACAGTTGCAACTGCACTATTTCTGACACTGGGATCATTGAAGGCATCTCTTATGCACAGTTGCTGTGTATGGGCAAAGCAACTGGACTGCTCTGGTGGAAGAAGGGCAAGCACTTCATCCAGATCAAGTTCTTCTTCCAAAATGTCAAGAGCATCTTCATTTTCATTTTCACCACTACTTTCACTCCTTACTTCGTCTCCATATAATCCTGGCAGACAGACATCAAATGCTCTCACCATTGACGAAGCATTGTCGGCAACCACCCTCCTCACCTTGCCATGAATTCCGAATTTCATGACAATTTCCTTATATGCTGTAGCGATGTTCACAGCTGTATGTCGTTCCACAAACTGATCGCAAGCAATGACACGTAACTTCAACTCCCATGACGAGTTGATGAAGTGTACGGTGACGGCGAGAAATGATACCATTCTCCGATTCGTCCCTAGGTCTAGTGTCAGGTAAATACGACTGAGGTGTTTGAATTCTGTCATCAACTGCGACTCAATGAGCTTCGTTCTCTGCTGCAGTAAACTATTTCTGAGTGTGGTTCTGCTTGGAAACATGAATTGTGGTTCTGCTTCGTACAGAAGAGCCCGAAAAGTCTTGCTTTCCACAATGCTCAGAGGCAGTTGATCACATGCAATGGACTCCAAGAGTTTCTTTGTCATAGACCGCTGTTTGATGTGATTAGCGTCAAATTTTTTCTCCTGTGCAGGTTTGAAGAACGAGGTCAATCTGGGCTGTGACACACAGCTCTCATGCTTCTTCTTTTCCTCTGCAGCTCTCAAGGTCTCATACTCATTGTAATGAACTTTGTGAACTCTTCTGAGATGCAGAACTAGGTTAGGTGTTGCCTTCGTCGATGCCGAATATGACTTTTTGCACTGTAGACAGTCGGCTATGAGAGTCTTGTCAGTGGACTTGGCATTAACAGAATAAAACTTTGTCAGTGCAGCTGACAGTTGAGGCATTTGCACATCCTCCTCATCCTCGATAGAATGGTCATCAGATGTCGATATGTCTTGTTTATCCATCTACAACATGAGAACCAATGTTTGTCAAACTTTAAAGTTCAAACCGAGTTATCACTAGAATGACAAGTGCTTTCTTTATTTGCCATATTTGGTACTATACAGTGTATTAGACTATTGTCACGCTCCCTAACCACATAGTACTATATTTAAATTAAATAAGAAAAAAAAACTTTCTCGACAGGATTTTTAATAAAATTATTATATCTTAATTCACCCACCATGTACAATGTGTTTGTTGAGTTGGGGGCGGGCCGTGATAACATAGGAAAACTCAAGTGCTCATGGGATTCGGGAGTCACGGGCACTCACGGCTTCACGTCTTCCCAGATTGACCTTGACGCTCGATCTGAGCCTGTGATCTAACTCAGCGACAGCGAGTTAGACCGAGTGTCGACGGAAAAGTGGCGTGGCATTTAAATTCAAAACAAGCGGGAAAAGGTGCACAACAGATTCAGAATGTTCAACGTTACTGCTTGCAGATAACAATAGCAGTAATAAAAATAAACAAAATTACAAAAATAAAACGAATTCAAGTGTTTTCGTCCTCACAAATTGTCTGTAAGTAGCAATACAAAATATCAATTTTTCCTTTGTTTATGGAAGAGGCAAAAGGCAGTAGCCTTAAACTAGATTACTGCCTGTAACACTAACAAGTGTGGGAAATACAAATACAAAATACTTTTTCTTCTGGGTGCCAAAATACAATTACAAATACAAATACATTGTATTTAAATACAATTAAAATACAAATACTAATTGTATTTGATCCACCCCTGGTGGCAGGGCACATCATGTTACATTAGACCAATCACAGCTAGCGGCGGAGGGAATGCGTGGGTGGTTAGGATGCGTGGTCCAATCACCACTGCAGACATCAATGAAGAGATTCAGCATCGGATCAGATGTGCATCTCAAGCCTTTAGCAGACTCCCAAACCATGTCTTCACTGTAGGGAGTTGAAATTATCTTCAAAGTTACACGTTATGGCAGCGAGACATGGGTTACATATAGGAGGCACCTCAAGGCACTTGAAATTTTTCACGAACGTAATCTACGTTCCATCCTCCGAGTTCGCTGGGAAGACGAGAGAACAAATGCCAGTATTCTTGGTGACACCAACTGTAGGAGCATCGAGGCTACCATAATCCATGAACAACTACGCTGGACTGGTTATGTTACCCGCATGGATGACAGTAGATTGCCCCAAAGCAGCTACTTTACAGTCACCTAATGAATAGTAAACGTAATTCCTGCGGGCAACTGAAAATGTATAAGGATAGTCTT